GATGTACAGACACTCACAGTACACGCAGGTGCCTGGCTCGAACCGGAACAGCTTTATTCAGCTTTTTTGGTGAAAAGGTGGTGAGATGTTAAATACCTCACCTGGTATACAGGAGGTTGTGAGTACGATCCCAACCCTGATGCCCTCTGTACATTCGGAGTTTGCATTCTCTTTCCCCGTGGTTGCGTTCGGTTTTTCTTCTCCGGTTTTCCCCTCCACATTTGGAATGAACGTGCATTTAGAGCATTTGGCTGCTATAAATTTCCACGCGATAAGGCACTTAGTTGAGCTATCATTTGTGGCCTGGTCGCTTCTGAAAAAGAGCTGCATAGCTCACTGGGCCTTACCTGGTAAAATAAACCAAATAATTTACAGTTAGTAAATCGTTTTTCCCTATCCGCGGCACAAACTGCTTTGATTTTATGACCCGTTCTCTCCATACTGCGATACTGCCCGTAACTTTATCTTTTGTGACCTGACCGTGACCTTGAGAGATGGTCCGAGCCTGAACGTGGTCAACAAAAACCACTGTGGGTTTTGTTGATCCTGCTGTCTTTTTGTCCAGCCCCCCCCCCCCCACCTCTAGGATCCAGGCCACATTTTACGGCAATGCCCCATGGGCCAGGTGGAGAGGTGGTAGCTGGCGGGATGCTCAATCAGCTTCCTCACCCCCCCCCACCCTACCCTTTGCTTTTTTTATAGTTCAATAATAATATAAACGTTTGTTTACGAAAAATGCAGTCCAACAAAACTCCAAGGGGCCTTTATATTTTTTCTTCATGCAACTGATTTATGGGATTTCCCGAGCACCATCTCATTGCGTTAATGACGTCAGAATAAAGGAAGAGACTATTAAAGTGAGTACTGCCCACTGTTGTCCATTTGGTAGTAATAATAATATAAAATGGAAATGCTAAATTAGTGCACTAAACTGCCGGGTGGAAAAATTAAAATGTTAAGTGCTCGGAGATACTCGTACCTCTTGATTAATGTGTGGATTGGCCTCTTAAACACAACCCCCTGTGGAACATTACAGGCCTAGCGTGTGCAGGCGATGTATCTCCGATGATCATAATCTATTTCTCATTGCTTTTGGTATGGATGTCTCAAGCTGGTTGTTCGCTCGCTCGCTCACACACTCCCTCGCTTGCTCAGTCACTCGCTCCCCCGCTCCCTCGCTCACTCACTCACTCACTCCCTCGCTCGTCTCTTGAGAAATGGGTATTCCACATCATTCCTCACTTTCCTTGCTCACCAAGCCCACCTGCAAACCTAAGATGCCCGTGGGTACTGTAATAATGTTTGCCGGTTTATTTATTTATCATCGCTGTATTTCTCAGGCAGGATGTCGCAGTGGTTTAAGTGCACGCCACTGTGAACCCAGTGAGATGAGTTTGATTCCTGGCCACGGCCAACTTTTCAACCAGAGCAGCATGGGGAAGTATGATCATACAGCGTCCATGACCAGAAGGTGTGGGGCGAGATCTTTATCCAGCAGTGGATAAACAGGGGGAATGTCAATTATTAACGAATTAAAGCTTTCGTGACTGCATAAATTACTCATTTGGTTTTTTCGGTAAAGTCACGTATGTAGAAATACCATAAAATTATATTAAAACAAATCAATCACGACGTTTCGACCGCAACACAAGCGATCTTCATCAGGTGTAAAAAAAAAACAAATAGCGAGGGAGCATATAGGGCGACACCAACGCAACACATAGAGAGCGCCAAACTGCACGGAGGTAAATACAACAAGAGGATGAGAGACGAGAATTCAACAAACCTAAGCAAAAATTATGTGATGCAAAACCAGTCAGGCCAATTATTATTATTATGATAACATTTATTAGAATGCACGCTGCGATGATGGTTGACTGCTAAATAGCTCCATTACAATTTCAAAGACAAGGCTTTTTTTTCTCACGGTGATTGGAGTTTGGGTCAGTTAAGGTGATTTATGTCTATCATTTTTTTAAATCTGAAAATTAGAAGTGTGTTTCTGCCTTCAAACATAGCAAAATCACCACCCCCCTGACCCCTTTCTCCCAACCCCCCGACCCCTCTCCTATCCCATCTCATGCGGTCCAACCAGGTGTGCACAACACCTCAAATCCAACCCAGTACGATCACATTCCCAACGTGTAAATTGATGTTGAAAGTGTGCTAAAGAAGCGTGGAGAAATGCCTGCTTGTAAAATTTACCTGAGTGAGAGATAGAGACGGATTGGGGGGGGGGGGCTTTTATCTAGCAGTTGATAGATCGTGGCTGCTGAATAATCATGGCGATGATGATTATGTAATTGAGATGGCTGTCAGGAGTCCATGGGAATGGTCTGGCTGTGGCCTTGCCACTGTGTTCTCTGCTGGGTGCCGGTGAATGCGGCCCACCGTTGCTGGAGGGGGATTATGAAGTTGTGAGCGTGCGTCACCACGGACATCGCGTTCCTCCAAGCGATCTCTTCGGCGGGCACTTCGTGCAACGGCGCAAATGCGTTTTCAAAGCCTTCGCCGCATTTCCTTGAGCGGTGCTCCCATGCATAATACATACGTAATCGTACGTGCCTACATAATACAAACGTAATCGTGAAATTGTCAGGAGATCAAGCGGGGGGGGGGGGAGGGAGGGGGGAAACACATAACAATATTATATCATTCCCGTTTTTTGCCACTACAGTGTTTATCACGATGCAGCCAACGTCTGAATGTTTCTTTTCATTTGGGACGTTTATGAATAAGTCAGAGACACACGCCCGGGATGAAGTGCGGATGTGAAGAACGTGGTGTGCCCGTGGAAAGTGCAGTGTTTGTAAAAGCCTTTGATTCCACTTGGCAGCGGGCAAGGCTGATGCACGGTGACATGTATCTGTGCACCGTGGCATCTCCGGAACGCTCCCGCGTTTGTTCCCACGAAAGCATCAACGGGTTTCAAAAGTCCTTCAAAAGGATTGTTTTTCCGTGGGCCCTGTTTGGGGATATGGATGCCGTTGTGGTTGTAATGGTGAGCGTACCGGACTTGCAAAACTAGGGGTGGAGGGGGGTCTCCATCGGATCGACAGGTCGCGGTTGTGGGGTAAAGGGGCTGGGTTCTTCCAGGTCTTCCAAGACATCTGACCAGCATAGCAGAGTGGGTCAAATTACCTCCTGAGGGCCTCTCTATAGCTCCTTCAAGTGCAGGCCCTTCTGCCAAACAGTAAGCAATTGCCGGAGGGCTCTTAGCTTTACCTGCTTGGGATCGTTGGGATCGTTTCCTGGAGCCCTTTTTTTGTCTTTCGATAATCTCTAGGCTGAGTTGGCACCGAGGTACAGAATATTTTTGCGTTGGCCATGAAAAACTTAATGCTTGGGATTCACAGTGACGGCAGCATCGTTTGTTAATTCTACGCTCTTTGGCGCAAACGGTGTAATTGAGATGCATTGCCTTGTTCAGCGATTTATTCTTCTTCCCTACATCTATGGCCTCGTGTTCAGATAAGAAGTGCAAAAGGATGGTGCTGCCGCAGCCCTCGGGTGTGTTCTTCGTATCGTGCCACCCGTCGTTCAGCAGAGTGTCCCCAATGTGTCTTTACACGTGCCCGGGAGCTTCCTCTTCAGAAGCTGATTTCAGTTCCTGGAGGAATTAATTTTCTACGTGCTCGGAGCTTCCTCTTATTCTGCAGGAACCGAGCTCTGAGAAGGAAGCTCCCGGCACGTGGAACTGGATTCAGTTGACAAAAACCAAAAAGCTCGGTTTCTGAAGACGCTCCCAATCCACGTGGAGCGAAACGCTGGCACCTCGTGCCAAACAGCACGTGGTACAATCCAGGAAACACACCGCCGAGCAAAGAGAGGGCTTTGGCTTTCAAGTCGTGTCGCCACTGATTTGAGAGCAGCGGCCCTTGTCTTACCCAAACCCCCGATGCTGTTTGAACAGCCACCGAATGACGCGGCCATCTCCGAAGGACCGGGCTGTTTATTTTTGGCGAGATTTTTTGTTCCTCTTTTTTTCGGTGGCAAAATTGGAGAGGTGGGGGCAGGGAGGCGGCGGGGTGAGGGGGGTGGAAGAAGAAAAAGTTACATTTTGTTGTAACCATTAAGCGAAAGTGCAATTGGCGAAATTGGTTGATTTAAAACGGCAACCATTGGGCTCTTAAGACATCACCTCACTCTGACCTCAGGGCGTCTGCCATTGATTGGCCACGGATAAAACCACGAGGGCAGGGCCCCGTCCCCGCCAAACAGAGGCGCGCGAGCGAATGTAGTGTTCGTTTGCGTCCTCTGCGCGCGATTTCCTCCCAATTGCTCTGAAGCTTTGTGCAATTTTCACCCGAGGAACGGCATTTTTTTTCGCGAAAAGAAAAGCCAGACATGTTGGCTGACATTGACACGCTTATAGACACCAACTTTTTTTTCCCACCCGTCGCATGTTCTCACTTTAAAATGAGAGAGCTGTCAAACATGTGATGTGCATTAGCAAATGCACATTGATGGAGTGAGCAAGGATTCTTCATAAATTGCAGCATTCCTGCCAGGTTTTTGAGTTTATATCTCTTTCATATTTTTATCGCCACATTTCATTTATATATACACACACACATTATATTTTTTTAAAAGACTCATTATGCACTGCTCTGGAGTGGTATGGGTAAATATAAAAACAAGCAATTACATTGATTTATTTCAGTTTGCCTCCATATAAAAGTAAATAAATGTATTCAGTCCATAAACCCAATACGTCTTCTGGGCTAATGTCGTCCAGCAGTTCTTCTTTGGTTCTTTCGGTAAAGTCACGTAGAATGAGCAGGCAGACATATGTGTAAGTAGATGCTTGTATGTATGTACGTACATGTTGAACTTCTTTTGCCACCGCACGTAGCCAACCGTGCCATTCGGAGGGTGCCTGGGCATGGCGCAACGGATGGGAAATGCGGACACTGGGCAAGGGAAATGGGAACGTAAAATACCTTGGCAATGTCGTCGCGTCTCAACTTGACATCCGATCTCTTGCCCCCACCGGCCAGGTGAATGGGGAGAACGTGGTGAAGGCCGGCCACCGACAGGTGGTGCAGATGATCCGGCAGGGCGGCAACCGGCTGGAGCTCAAGGTCATCACCGTCAGCCACCCGCCCAACGATGATGAAGGTGGACGGAGGAAAGGTAGGTTGAAGATTGATCGTCATGACAGTAGGCCCACGTGTGCCGTTTTCTTGGTCTCCGAATTGGGGCGATTTTGATAAAGTTCCAGCAAATTGCTTCTTTGATTAAAAACAAAAAGATGTACATGGCAACATCGCTCCCAAGCGGCAGACTGATACCCACTTTCGGTGTTCACCTTGTACCACACAGGGACAGCTGCCACTGGGGGGAGGGGTCCCCTTGGATACAAACTAAAGTAGGGCATTGGAATGGTTGAAATGAGCAGTGCTGTTCTGTGCTTTGAGTTGCGAATGCATTTAATAAGCAAGCGCCCTATACATTCTAATCCTTATCGTGCCCCAATATCCACCGTTATAATCTCCTGTGGAAAGCAATCCTTCCTCACCTCGGCACGCGGGCATTAGATCCTGCGTTTTCGATGGTGAACAAAAGGAATTGCAGCGTAACCAATCGCACTCGCCTGCGGTTCACTCAAAGTCGCCGACTTTTGAAATGACCCTTAACAAGTAAATGGTCCATCTTCTTTGGTTCTTTCGGTAAAGTCACGTAGAATGAGAATAAAATAATAAATTGATAAAATAAAATAACACAATAATATTCTCAGAATATTATATAATATTATATATTCTCAGAATATTATTGTGTTATTTTATTTTATCAATTTATTATTTTGTTCTCATTCTACGTGACTTTACCGAAAGAACCAAAGAAGATGAATCATTGCAGTCACGAAAGCTTTAAATCGAAAAGTAAATGGTCACAAGTTACAACAGAGCTCTTCTGCAACGTGGGGGGGGGGGGGGGGGTGATTAAATGAGGTCGAATATTGGTTTATCCACAGCGGATAAATGTCACTGCAGCTGCGATGTGCACAAGTGACCATGGTTCCATTGGGGTCTTATCCCTCTTCCTTATCCCTCTTCAACATTCTTCTTCCTTATTCCACTTCCCAATCCCTATTCCTTATTCCTCTTTCTCCCAAACCCAATGAACCAAACACCCACACCACTGCTTTTCCCGCTAAATGATGGCCCACAAGGCAAACAGGAGTCCTCACATGTGGGCCGTGTCATTCGGACCATCAACATTCGTTTGAATGAATTTCAACATGAGTGAACATTAGTTAACATGAGTTGAAAAGCGTTAATGCATCGGCTCTGTCCGTCCGCCCATCAGTCTGTCTGTAAAAAGTAGGGCACGATAGCCCTCGTGAAGATGATCTAACATGAACACAACTTAAGTGTAAAGCTGTGTTGCTATTCGAGACTTGCCCTGTGGAAAACTTGCCAAAATTGACGAGAGCATTTCCCAAAAACTTGGAGATGACAATCAGTGCCAACAACATTCGCAAAACCAGTGCCATCAAGAAGCGTGCAACCCCCCCCCCTGCCCTACCAATCATGTCATTACAAGGGACGACATCTCATGACGTCAAGTATCATATGCCGTGTGACATCATCTTGCTGCGTGTCTTGAACCATGACGTTATTGTTACGAATTGAATACTTCAAAAGGACAAACGCGTGTTTTGGTAAACAACAGAGGCCAGATCGCTGAGCTGGCACCGCAGAGACTCCTGGGTTCGAATCCAGGAGGCTTCCTTACCCTGATCACCGACCAATGCCGGAACAAAGAGCCATCGCATTAAATTTGGTGCAGCAGTTGCATGCAAGACGTCCTGATTGATTCTTCATCTCGTGATTTCGCAACGATTGAATGTTTGGGATACAATTGGATGAATATTTTAAAATGAAAATAGGGATGCAGGACAACCGTTCTGGGGCCATGGTGCATCGAGGTGCGTGGGGCTCACTCTTGGGGTCGCCTTTTAGGGGTCACCTTCTGTGGGGTCACCTTGTGCGGGGTCACCTTGCGGGGGTCACCTTGTGGGGGGGTCACCTTGTGGGGGGGGTCACCTTGTGGGGGGTCACCTTGTGGGAGTCACCTTGTGGGGGGTCACCTTGTGGGGGTCGCCTTTCTTGGGGTCACCTTTTAGGGGTCACCTTGTGCGGGGTCACCTTGTGGGGGGGTCACCTTGTGGGGGGTCACCTTGTGGGGGTCACCTTGTGCGGGGTCACCTTGTGCGGGGTCACCTTGTGTGGGGTCACCTTGTGGGGGTCGCCTTTTAGGGGTCACCTTGTGCGGGGTCACCTTGTGGGGGGGGTCACCTTGTGCGGGGTCACCTTGTGGGGGTCACCTTGTGGGGGTCACCTTGTGGGGGGGGTCACCTTGTGGGGGTCACCTTCTGTGGGGGGGGGGGGTCACCTTCTGTGGGGTCACCTTGTGGGGGGGGTCACCTTGTGCGGGGTCACCTTGTGGGGGCTCACCTTGTGGGGGGGTCACCTTGTGGGGGTCACCTTGTGGGGGTCACCTTGTGGGGGGGTCACCTTGTGGGGGTCACCTTGTGGGGGGGGGGGTCACCTTCTGTGGGGTCACCTTGTGGGGGAGGTCACCTTGTGCGGGGTCACCTTGTGGGGGCTCACCTTGTGGGGGGGTCACCTTGTGCGGGGTCACCTTGTGGGGGTCACCTTGTGGGGGGGTCACCTTGTGGGGGTCACCTTGTGGGGGGGGTCACCTGTGGGGTCACCTTGTGGGGGGGGGTCACCTTGTGCGGGGTCACCTTGTGGGGGCTCACCTTGTGGGGGGGTCACCTTGTGCGGGGTCACCTTGTGGGGGGTCACCTTGTGGGGGTCACCTTGTGTGGGGTCACCTTGTGGGGGTCACCTTGTGCGGGGTCACCTTGTGGGGGTCACCTTGTGGGGGGGGGGTCACCTTGTGGGGGGTCACCTTGTGGGAGTCACCTTGTGTGGGGTCACCTTGTGGGGGGGGTCACCTTGTGGGGGGGTCACCTTGTGGGGGGTCACCTTGTGCGGGGTCACCTTGTGGGGGGTCACCTTGTGGGGGGTCACCTTGTGGGGGGGGTCACCTTGTGGGGGTCACCTTGTGCGGGGTCACCTTGTGCGGGGTCACCTTGTGGGGGGTCACCTTGTGGGGGGTCACCTTGTGGGGGGGGGTCACCTTGTGGGGGTCACCTTGTGGGGGGGGTCACCTTGTGGGGGTCACCTTGTGGGGGGGGTCACCTTATGGGGGTCACCTTGTGGGGGGTCACCCTGTGCTGGGTTGCATTTCGCGGGCGAACGAGGCGCAGGTTAAACGTCTAGAATCAAAGGGGCAAGCGGTGAGGAGTGCGCGTTGGGGCGCGAGAGTTCATCAGCGATGTCAGCAAAGGGCGATTGCTTTACCCTAAGAATAGACAAGCGCGTGATCGGAGCACATCGCCTCTTCCCTTCGAGACGAAGCTGCTTCTGATTTTTTCTGCAGCAAAAATAAAAAATCTGTGTGTCCTGCAGCCCGGGTAGCAGAGCCGGCAGGAACTTGCGACGCTTTAATTAACGTCCGCACCGTTCCTGCTCTGTTAGAGGATCGCGTCACGTGCCGGCACTCGGAGGCGCTCGGGGCGGGTTAAAAGTGTGGAGCATCAGCGGTGTAGAGCGTTCCAATCCTTCCATGGGGGTGTTTGTCAGCTCCCCTTTGCCCCCCTCCCCCCTCCCTCCCGCCCCCAGATACACTGGTGGGAGCCCGTGCTTGTTCGTGAGCGCCGTTCCCTCCCACATCATCACGCCTCGCGGCCGCGATTATCTCATAAGCACGTGGGGGTTCCACATCCAAGCCCACGCGCTGTTACTTAAAAAAAATCGTATAATTCTGTTCCAGGCTCTCTCTCTCTCAGCTGTCACTTCTTCGCATGGGGTGCAGGGTGCTTCCATGTGCTCGCTCAATCACGGGGTGCAGGGTGCTTCCATGTGCTCGCTCAATCACGGGGTGCAGGGTGCAGAATGCTGCCATGTGCTCGCCCACTCACTCATGCATGCGTGTGCACCACACACAAGGCTCAAGCCAACGTTGACGACTTCCAAAAGAGATTTTAATTGCTCGCCAGTATCTCATTTTTTTTAGCTCTCGTGAGCCATCGGAAGGCAGCGGAATGAACGAACTCACGGGGAACTCCCTCTCTCTCTCTCTCTCGATCCAACGACGCCGCTTGTTACACGTTTAATATTTTCTGTGCATACTCAGAGAGCTTCTCTCACTCTCCATCGCCGATTTATTTCGGGTTTTTGTGTGTGTGTGTCTCCGCCACCGCAGCCGCCGCAGCCGTGTTTCTCGCACGCACGCTGGAGGTCTGTTTTGTCCCGATTCCCGAGATGTCGGATTCTGTTTCCTAGGCAACCATCCACTGAGCAGTAAAAATATGTATCGCCCTCGCTTTAAAAGGCGGCCGATTTTTGTTGCTGTTTTTAACCCCTCTCATCAAGGATGCTCTCGTGCCTCCATCGCAAATCTGGCGCCGTGGCATTTACCTGGCTGTTTGCGGTAAATATTTAATGTGCAATCGAGTGAGCTCGCAGCAATGGAATGTAAATAACGCTCGCGTCTAAGCGGTGTGTGCCACGGGGCTGCCCGGCGCGGCGAGAGAGACTTGTGTTTTTCTCTTCTCTTGATTGCGTTTTTTTTTTTGCCCAAAGGAATTTTCGTCGAGAGAGCCTGACAGGCAGAGGAATTGGGATGGCGTCTGTATAAGGCACCCCCCCCCCCCCCCACACGAGATCTGGCAGACAATGTTAAAAGGCTGGGAGGCGAGGTTCGTTACGGACAGAGACAGACCACTGGCCCACTGCGCTCCGCCAGCCTCTGTGCCCAAGCGCGCTCGCTTTGTTACGTGCCGTCTAAGTCCGGTAGAAGATCTATCCTCGAGCAAGAATTTTTTTTTCTATTCACGTGGCTTATGTTTAGCTTGGGATTTGGACCAAAAGTTGTAGGGTTAGTTTGGAAATAACAGTTGAAATCCACTCGGCATAATTTCAATTTATTCAGGTTAGGGGTTATTGTTAATTTTGTCAGCGCAGCCATGCAGATTGCCTCTTGTTGGTAATAAAAAAAAACCACAACCTACTGGGAGTAAAACATTTTTTATTGTTTTAAATATTGGCTAGTCAAGGTGAAACAATGAACCCCTCAGCCCCCTGGAGATTCGTTGAATTGTCAGGATTCAAGGTCACGGTTCGATTAAAAACAATCTTTTTTACATTACACCAAATATAGCAGCTGTGACCCAGTTAAAAATGACACATGAACAGAAAATCATTGTTATGCACGCGCGCACGATTCGTCGCGGCGTGTATCGCGAGAGAAAAATAAATAACGGTAATCGATGCATTGTCGACGCAGAAATAACGGCAGCGCGTGCGTCAAGAACATTTGTAGCCAACAGCAAGGCCTAATTTTAGCGGTCAGCTTTCATCTTCCATGCTCATCGAACAGCATTGCATTGAGCCAGAGGCGTCGCTGTTGGTGGGCTACGAAGAGCGGGGGTGAAATGAAACTAAACTATTTAAACATTTTTTATTTTATTTTACCAGGTAAGGCCTGCTGAGCTATATAGCTCTTTCTTTTCGGAAGCGACACGGCCACAAGTGATAGCTCAACGAAGTGGCTTATCGTTGTGTGAAAATTTACATCAGCCAAATACTCTGAACGCGTGTTGATTCTAAATGTGGAGGGAAAAACTGGAGGACCCGGAGAAAAATCTACGCGGCCACGAGGAGAACACAGAGCTCCAAATGTACAGCAGGCGTCAGGGTCGAACCCACAACCTCCTACATATCAGACGAGGGAGTTAACGTCACACCACTGTGGCGCCCATTAGACGGGGTTGGTGGTGTTGGGGTGGGAATTGAATCCTTGCACCGGGGCCCATACCAACCACACTACGCCACTGCATTGAGCTGAGCCATCGCTGGTGCCCCAGACGATCTCACCGAGCCCGTGGTCGTGAATCACGCTCGGCGCTGCTCGCGAGCTCGCGCGTGTTCCGGGCGGAGTGCACGCGCTCGCGTGCACACGGGGGAGCGCACAGCCGAGCATTACGGGAGGCGTAATTGGGACGCCCATTAAACGCAGCTTGCAGCTGACGACGATACATTCGCTGCCTTGTGGGTTGTCATGGTGACTCCTGCTGAGAAGGAGGAGAAGGAGGAGGAAAGAGCGAGCGGACGAGGGAGCGAGGGACAAGCCAGAGAGCACGCCAAAGAGAAGCGCAGGAGCGGTCTGCGTCAGCAAATGTGCGCAGTCTGGGGGAATCACGACAATTGCTTTGAGGAAGCGCGGTGAAATTTACATTGAAATATTACCGATCATGACGGTAATGACGATGGTCAGAGAGTAGTTCTGAGTGGTGTGCGGATGGCTTGACTCCCGGCTCCCCTTCTTCCCACGAGACGAGGCGGCACAACCACTAAGACAGGAGAGGAGAGTGTGGGAGGGGGGGGGGGTGTGGGGGGTGGAGTGGCACGGGGAGCCTCATTGGGAGGCTCTGCCAAGTCTCGAGCCGTTCGCTGGCACCCGCGATGTGGCAAGGAGCCCCCCCCCCAAAATTAACAGTCGCTCGTTAATTGAGTCCTCCCCAATCCCACACTGGCTGTGACCTAGTTTTCCATTGCTGAGAAGGCGACGCCTGCGTGACGGCTTAGGAATGGGAGCGACGAATGGAAGTTTGCGGGGAAAATTTGCATTCCGTGGCGGTGCACTGGGGGTAATGACCATTCCTGCTGGGCCCATCGAGGCAGCGGTGGCTGCGGCAGAACCGCCTTTAAGTGAAGCTGTCACCGTACATTGATGTGGTCCCAAGCTGCATCGCATTCCTCATTTTACAATAGTTGCAACATTTCAAATTGAGTTTCAGAATAAATAAGTAAATAGCCATCTTGTGTCACAACTTTAATTAACGAGTAGCCTTTCTTGAAGATGAATGTTGACTTTAAAAAATTGCACTTTTTACTCGGCGCTCGGGTCTGGACGAATGTGCAATTCAGCGGTGGAGTTATTGACCTTGGCAAAAAAAAAATTGGTACGTCTAGGATTTTTCACAGTTTGTCTGAAAGACATCATTCATTCGTTGTGCTCTGTAACCCGGTGAGAGACAGATTTTATTTTTTGTTCAAGGGAGACCTGAGTACACGACAATAAATATAGTAGTTGTGACACAAAGGTCAGAAGCACGTGCACAAACGTAAAGTAATGTGCGAAACGTAAATAACATTTGACGCTTTACGCAACGTAAGGTACGTTTACAATCCACGCAGAAGGTATAAAGTAGGCGAAGAAAGCAACCACAGTCCTCTTGGCTGTGCACGTGACTGAGAATGGATAAACGATTTGAGAGATTCTACATTGATCCCCGTGCCAGGAGCATCGTGCGAGACAGTAGATGTGTAATGGTTTAGCCTCCGGGCAATTCGACGAATTGTCACGATTCGCGATCGTGATTTCACTCCACAATCGATTCTTGAACAAAGGGGCGACTGTATCAGTCTCAATCCATCGGTTCACACGAGCCCGTTACGTGCAGTACATACAGCACAATAATGTTACAACGTACCGCCTCTTGTCAATCTACTGCTGGATTAAAGCCTCTCCACCTCTTGTCGTTCCCGGGGAGTTCTTTGAACATACTTCCCCACGCTGGTCAGTGCGGGTTGGTGAATAGGGGGGTAGGGCAGCACTTGTTCAGTTTCACTCGCCACTGATGTTAGCCGTGGCTGGAAAATCGAACCAAGGTCACCAAATTCGTAGCACAATGTTCCAACCCCAACCTCTGTACCATCACTTCACATTCAGTATATGAACTGAAACAAATATCGACCCTGACACACGCGACTCAATTCACCTTCCCCACCTCCCCTCCCCCACCACTCCACTGATGATAGGGCCAGCTGTCATTAGGGGGTCCCCTCGAGTGAAATGAAGAGAGAAAAACGACATCATTATTTTATTGGGCCAGAATGCCGATGTGTATCGTACACCCTCCTCGCGAAATAAGCAACGGTCGCACTTGAATCGTGTGCCATCGATCCCTATCGATCCTCATCAATCCTCATCGATCGCCATCGATCCCCATTGATCACCATCGATGGTGATCCGCGCGACTACCGAAGGTCGACAAACGTGACGAGTCGCGCGCCCCCAACGTAGCCAAACAATTGAAGTCACGCGAACACAGCGACAATTTGCTTTTGCTACAGCACGCCGGTACGTTGGAGAGCAATTCACAACATTGAACAATTACAAGTCTGGACGTTGGGAATGATTGAGATGTGACGGAAGGCTCCTTGAGATGCTGGGGGCATTTAAGCGGCCAACGAACGTAACTCATCATTCCTCGTAGTGAAATTTTCGAATCCATGCGAGCCAGTGTATCGATGATTGGTTGCGTTGCGGGCCCCCACCCCGGTAAACAGAGACGTATGCGTCAGCGGCAGATGCAGTGCCTTGCGTAACCGGCGGTAGTGGGAGCGGGGAGCGGTGCTGGGCATAGGAGACCTCATGATAGATTCCGCGTGCGTTCACGCCTGTCAGGGCGCGCGCGCGCGCATTAACGCACGGTCGCTGTCCGCACAGCCGTATGATTTTCTCCCGGCGTGTCTCTCGCAGCCACCGTGATTGGTCGATACGTGGCCATGTGATTGGAGTGACACGGATAATCCCGAGTGTGATTGGTCGAGGCGATGCATGCTAACCCTCTGGTTCCACCACCACCGTCAGCAGCGATTCGAGGAATTGTCACAAATCGATGTTTCCGTGTGATCATAAAAATGCATTACTATTCCGTCCTGTGTTTTTTGAGTTCTCACTTGCATTGCTTCTAATTTGTATCGCTACTCAATTGTACAGTGTTGTGTTTGCTCGGTTATCCTCAATGTAGTGTGAGTACATCATTTGCATAAACGGTTATTTGCATGAATGGTCAGTGTTCAATTCTCTTGCACACGATTTGAAGCATGCATTGTGAGCGCGAGAATGGATAATGTTCCATGAAACTGCATCGCTGCCTGTCTACCAACGGCGGCAGCAGCAGCAGCAGCGCTGATCGACGCGCGCGTCTTTGTTTTTCAACACATTTCAAATGCTTCGCGGCGAAAATAATATCCACGTTTGGACCGGCACCTTGCCACGGCGGCCACATTCAAAGGCAGCTCCTTCAGATCAGTGCCGACAATTGATTATTTCAACAACGGTCCCCACTTGAGTCGCACGCTCAATTCCCATCGATCACGAGCCGGCGAAGACCACGCTCTGAACCGCCCGCCCGAGGCGCAACGAGTCCTCGCGCCCCATCAGGGCCCCCGCCCCCCCTCGCTCTCTAAGTCCCCGAGACGCACGCGGCGCCAATCCGCCGATACTCGACCTTGATTTCGGCATGGTGCGGGGCCCCGCTGAGCTCAGCAGCTCTCACTTACAAGGACGACCACAGCCCGGAGACCGCCTGGTGTCGGTGGAAGTTGCAGGATGTTGTGGGGGTTTGGGATGCACAAATTTACTGGAGCAAAAACGACCGAATTGCGAACGCGGAACGGTACGTGTTCCAACCGTTGGTCAATCCACCGCTAGATGAGGGCCTCCCCGCCAGATGAGGGCCTCCCTGCCATCTCTGCCGAGCGGCTCTTGGGGGTTATTTGAACCATAGCTGGCCTTATGGTTACCCAGAATTAACTGCATCCGCAGTGACCGACTGCCAAATAGGATGCATTCAGTCCACAAGAGAGCACCACGTTCACACATTATCGTGGAACGCAAACATCAAACCGCCCACACATTTTGTCCCCGGCAGCACCCCGTTATGCAGATAATTTTACCACCCGTAAAAAACAACAAATCATATACATTTTTCTCCGCCGGCTCCCTGAGACCTCCGCTTGACCTCCTACCCCCCCCCCTCCTCGTCACTGACGCACGATCCCCCGGGGCTCGATGCATCTCTGTGCCTTCCGCAGCAGCGCCGATGCCCCCCAAACGGGCGCCCTCCACAGGGCTGAGCAGCCGCTCCAAGTCGCAGTCGGACGAGCTGCACGAGACGGGTAGGCGCGCAACTCTTGCACCACCTCCTTCTTGACCGTCGCGCCAGTTGCGTGCCGTGCCGCGAGCGTTGCGTGCCATGCCCCCTCTTGCCAACTCCGAAGCTCAACTCAAAAAAACGTCGCCATACGTGACACCTTTTTTTTTTAAAGTCAGATCCTGAACACAAATCTGGGGTTGCTCCCGAATGTGCACGCTTTGTCCGCGTCCTGGAGGGTCGCTCGATGTAACGGAGGGTCGCTCTGGCAAGGTGCTTGTCTCTAGGCCGCACGACGGAATCTCTCGGTTGGAAGCGCGGCGCTGTGCTCGTGGTGATGTCTCTTGGGCATGAACTTGGGCCGTCCTCCGTAGCTCCTCGCCGGGTGGTGAAGGTACTCTCAGTCCCGGACTCGCACTTCTTCGGAGATTGTGGGTTAAAATCCCGGTCGGGGATTTTACTTAGCTGATTTTCCCTAATTAGACTGGCACGCCATGGTGGTGAGATGTTAACGACCTCGCCTGGTATACAGGAGGTAGTGGGTTCCATCCCGACCCTGACACCTGCTGTATATTTGTAGTTTGCGTGTTCTCCACGTGGTCGCATGGATTTTTCTCCGGGCCCTCCGGTTTTTCCCCTCCACTTTTATAAAAATGCATTTTGGTGTATTTGGCTGAGATAATTTTACACGTGATAAATCCGCCACTTTGTATGAGCTATAATTTGTGGCCAGACCACTTCTGAAACAGAGCTATATAGCTCAGTGGGCCTTACCTACAACAAGTGAGAGGAATAACTGAACTTATTTGAATCAAATTGACTTAAATTTTCAGTTGATTATCTCTACCATTTTCCAAAACATAGCGTTTCTTTCTCTCTTTAATATTCACTCCTGCTGCCATGTGCTGTGATTTGTATGTTTTTAGTTTTGTCCTGATTTTGATTGTGGAGCTTATTTTACGGTAACTTCTTGATTATAACTGTCTATGATTGGATGGCATCCACCGCGGTAACTCATTCACTGCATGCTAACTTACTTTATTTGAAAAAACAAGCAGATGTAATGCTTTATCCATCTTGTGAGCAAGATACTTTTTTTTGGAAGGTCCCATTCCAATTTTATCCGTCATATCGGTTTTCCACGTACATTTTAACGTAATAAACGGCATTTATTCAAACAATAGGTGAATTGGAAATCCAGTGATCGTCCTACAATGTAACGCGTGTCAACGATGTGCCTCTAGCTGTGTGGTGCAATAGTTACGAGCGCTAAACTCTCGACCAGAATGTCACGAGTTCCAATCCTAGTCAGGTGGTGACTCACACTCGTCATCACTCCAGGGTCAACAAATGAAGACCACTTTGCGAGAGGGAAGGCTACGGTAGCGGCCCTATGGATAGTCTGGGCCCCTGTCATAGGAATGTGGAATTTCAACCATTTCCTCATGGCCACTGCCCAAAATGAGAAATCCTCCACGCACTTTTGAGCATGGAGATACTTTTGGGTGGCCATCGAACAAAGACGCTCACCGCATCGGGCGCTTTCAGATGCGCTTCTGCGGCCGTCTGGAACGCTCTTCCTTTCCGATATTAGGAAGGCACTGGGAGCTGTGCACTTTTAAATCATCGTCCAGATTGAACACTCATTTCCTAAAGAACCACTTTTTGTGTGTTAGTTTGTTCTTCCCCCGCACCTCCGACGAGCACGGTTGGCTACGTACGGTGTCAAAGACGTTCAACGTACATACGTACGTACACTGACTCGCGCAAAAGCAACAACTTTAACAACAACAACGCCAGTGATTGTTCGCTTCACCAATAGCATGTGAATGGCGCTGCATTGCAGCACTCTCAGCTGGGTTGCTATCTGTCCAAGGAATTGGCATCCGTGTTCACGTGGCAGGAAATTATTTGCACGGAAATTTGGCACCAGCATTGCGTTGAACGTTATTGCAGTAAACTGCACAGTGTTGATAGACCTGGTGCTGACTGAGAATTCTGTCCACAGCTTGGTCTCCAGTGAAAAAGGTGGCAGACCCCCCCCCCCCCCCCCCCCCCAACCACCGGCCTCACCACTCGGTTAAACTGAACAACGAGTGGTTTGAAGATGACTTTAATGACACTGGCTGCTATAGACGCACATTAAACACATACTGTCTGTCCGGCATCCTTTAGCCGTGATGTCTCCGGCGCACCTCTGAGGCTCCCTGCAAATTACAGCCCTCGTCCCAGAGGGTTTTGTAGCCCGTCTTGACATTAAACAGCATGAGTGGGAATGTTCGACAAAAGGCCCGAGTGTGGACAGGCCCGACGCGCACGGTGTCGAAGAGCCGGAAGAGAAATGCGCTCGTAACGTGTCGAGTTATTTTTGTCCATCCGCTGCTGGATGATGGCCTCCGCACGCTGCCGGGGTCACGTGGATTTTTTTTACCAATTGTTCACCACCCTGGAGCCTGGTACAGCGCAATCGATCCTACTGCACCGCCACTGCACTCACAGCGTAGCCCCACAAAAGCCGATGTTAACTGTTTTATGCATGGTCGTCAACTTATCCAAGCATGATCCAGGCTCAAGCTTGCTTAGCTTCTGAGGATCTGTTGAGATCAGGTTCCCAGTCTCGGTGATTCTAGTCGCTTGGTGAAAGAGCAGTGGCAAACATGAAAGTACCGCGCTGCGTTTGGCAATCTGACGATGGTTTAGGGGAAAAGTGTGTGGGCTGGAAGGGTCCTTACCCTGATGACCGTCATCTCGGCTCTGCCTTCCCTCCAGGGGAGGAAGGACAAACCGCAAAGGTTATTTCAGTCCGTGTGTGTCCGTACGCTGCGTGGGTGCGGGCGTGGGAAGTGCGCGGGGAGCAGTGATGCAGCGGTTCTCGCGCTGCGCTACAAAACCCGGCGACACGGGTTGGGTTCCAGCTCACGAGCAATAACGGCGATGATTATATCAGAACCGGTCCTGGGTCTCCCCTGGGTCGGCTTAAATGCCTACCTGGTGCGGCGTGTAAAAACGTCAGCACTGGGGAGGCAAAGACGGCCGGGCGCGATGTTGGCCACTTACCCACTCGTGTGTCATTCTGGTGGCTTCGCTAACAGCAGTTGCCCTAACAGTCCGTTGCAGGCCGTACGAGGGATATTTTTCCTTTGCGGAGCAGGGGTGTAAGTGCTGAGCGCGCACTGCACGCACTACTAAGCGGGTCCCAGGACCTTGCTTACATCCACTCTTAAATCTTCAACGAGCGTGCGAAATATCGTTCGCATTGTAGAGACAAAGGTGGCCAGGCTAGGTTCTGACCACGCCCGCCCACCTTACAGCCTTAACAGATACACGGGGGATTTTTTTTGGCCTTTGTGCGCACGTGTGTACGGTGCGTATGTAGGCGGGCGCAATGAAAGAGCCTGCCGATGCAGTGATTTTACCAAGAGCATCTTGCATGCAACAATGTACACGTTTATGCATCTTCCTTCCTTGAGTTCAGTCACCTTCAGCCATTGTCTATCAACTGCTGGATGAAGGCTTTTCCACGCCGTTGGGATCCATCACGGTCAAGTGCTGCTCCCATCCTTTTCAATCCCATTGCTCCATCTCCTCGATGGTCATCCTCTTGTGATACATTCTCTTCTTTGGCTGCCATTCCATCACCAGTCACCAAGTGATGTAAAGTAATGTAAAGTTCAACACTGCTTGTCAATCAACATTGCTCAGTTAATCCGACCAGGTGTCTCGACGCTTAAGAGCCAGTGTCTCAGCCCATCATCATCTCTCTGAGGTTGATAACATTCTTGCCACTTTGTGGGGAATTCGACAGTGGTTGCCCAATGGATGGGCTCTTCCCCCACTCTAGGAATGTGGAATTTCCACCACTGACTCGTGGCTCTAAATGGGATACGATTGTCACCTCGACGTTCACTGGAGGAGGAAATCACTTTTACTTGATTTTGAGTTATTATTATTAAATAAGTCATCCTAGCAAAAATACCTTCAGGTAACTCGTGTTCACAGAGGGGCTGATGTTTGTAAAAATGTCCCCCTGTCACGCGTTTAGCGCTTGGCAGGTGTTGGTGAGACTGGCATTAATCCGAGGCCAGGCTCTCTTATTCACACAACTTTGATCACTCTGGAATGTGCGCATCTTGCGACAAGTGTTGAGAATGTGCATTCAGCACGAGGCGTGAAACATCGCAAGCTCTGCAGGAATAAAAACATTAAATCGGTGATCACGACTTCCTGAATGTCATACCCATAATGCTGTGCTGTCAGTCAGACTTGCATGTTTAACAACAGTACTGCCCTGGTCTTACAACAGTTGATAAAGCTTGTAGCCATATAAATAAAAGCAATCATGATGATGAACAATGATCAATTCACTGCTGGATGAAATTTCCACAATCCGTCGGCATATCCCACAATCCTGCGATGCAAAAATCCACCCTCGGGAGAGACGTTCTCTCAAAACGCATTCCTCTTCCCTGGCTGGCACTCCGTCACTTTTCTCGACTGCGAAAATGAAAAAAACAAATAATGGTTAGGGGGAAAGTCTTTTCTCCAACGTCCGCCCGCCGACGATCGCTTCGGAGAGGCGGAGGGAGATCGAGGGAGCTGTGTGTCGCGTTTTGAACTCGCTCCACTGGTGATGGCGCCGAACGCCTCGCGGATTTTCATCGTGATTCGCGCGACAGAAACAGCACAATGGCAGGCCGCGTACATCAAAAAGCCGGGGGAGGGGGAACGATTGATAATTGATCTACTGCGCCCCGCGCTAAGCTCATCCGCGCCGCTCGCCGTCGTGCGGAGCGCGAGGAAGGCGCTCCTCGCTGGAGCGGCCAAGATAAGCGATTTGAAAGCGGGAAAGCACGGTCGGTTCTGGCGAGCAACTTCCTACCCGCGGCCGCTTGTGTCCTTGTGTCGCGGGCGCGATATGTGGCGCGGGCGGTGTCGGCAATAATTGCTGTGGGATGGATCAATAGGAGCGGCGGCGTGCTGTGGTGGGGGAGTGAGGGGGGCGCGAGAGCGTTTCACTGTGTGTCA